CGGGCGTCACTTAAAATCTCAAAAAAGTATCCATGCTTCGCCCTGGAAAAATATGACAATTTAGGGCTTCTAAAGGCTTAAGTACTTAATCGATTTTGGGTCTACTAATATGTAGAAAATATACATACATTTTTTTTTTCTCCCGGACGAATTGTGGTTTTTCTCCCCCTGGCGCCCCCCCCCCCCCGGCCCCCCCCCCCCGGCTGGTGGTGGGGGTGGGAAGTCAGGAATGGCATTTTCTCTCTCGTCGGACAGGCCTGTACCCGGCTCGTCGTACTTCGGCACGATGAGGTCGTTGGACAAGAGCAATAATTTTCCTGTCCAAATAACGTTATTTTGATTGCCAGTCTAACAGCACAATTTGAGCCATACTAAAGCCATAACAACTTTCCATGATTTTAATTCCGAGGCTCCAATCGGCCCCGGTTCGGACGAACCTAAAATTATACTAGTATGTCGAGGCAATGGTTTTCACCACTGTTTTTTTTTTTTTTTTTACTTTGTATTAACAGCTCTTCCGAAGAAGGGAGATATGATATCACTAACCCCCATTCTCTGTATCTGGGTTAACCTGATAAGCTTGATCCATGGAGGATAAAGTTTATCAAACTCAAACATTGTCTGCAGATAAACAAATCGTTGATTAAATATATATCATCATTCATGCGGTGAACGTTGTGAATACCAGGGCGCTGATATTTGCCTTTTTGCAAGGATTCGTTCACAGTTTGTGATCTGATTATTTGCTAGTGTAAGCTGAAAAGGCGCCGGTCCCGAACCGGTAACTAAGACCAGATCCCAATTCACAGAGAGGTAGGCCTAAGCTCATCTATTGTCTATTAAAGTAGTTTATTTAAGCTATAAATATTAGTCACTTTTGACAAGGTATCTTAAAACTCGGGAGAAAAATAACGTTTTGCTAAAGTTATCCAGTAACCACTTGCGAAAACCAGGACTGGACAGTCTTCATATAACGGGACAGAGTGGTGATGAGTGATGTCCAATCTCCTGATTTTTCGATACCTTAATATATTAATGAGCAGAGAAACAATTTAACTCATCCATTACCGATTGATTTATTAATAACTAGGTTGAGAGTAGTGCCTTCTAACATTGAAAACAGCAGTGTTGCTAGGTGAAAACGATTGATTATGGGGATCAAAGATTATTACGTGATCTTGCTAACACAGACGTCCCTACCACTTGTACGCCTATTAAAGCATTGTCCCTCTCAAAGCTAAAAAATACTGGTGTTATATTTCGTTACGGTGGTCGTTATTTTCCTTTGCAAAATGAGTTCCTCACCTATATTCAAACGCATTTAATTTCCCATACAGTAAAGTTCTGTATACACTATTACATTTTATTCGACAGAAAACTGTTGATGCCCAATGATAGTCATGATGTGTTGTCATTCAGGGGCGGATCCAGAGATGTCCAAAAGTGGGGCCGATCGAGACAACACCACCCTAGGAGTCCGCGAAAATTTGGTGTTCTAGACGCCCGAAAATAATGTGAGGCGCTTTGGACGATCGTTTTTGTTTTGTTTTTTTGTTGTTTTTGCTTTCCAAAAGGGTTTTCTGTCTAGACGGTAGACGGATATTGATTGCTTTGAATAGTGAATTGAAAAATATTACAACAATTTTATTATGACCTTATTCTCACCAATCGACAGGCCTATAGATAGTGCATCGTCATTGCATACTCAAAAATTCACTGATAATAAATTATCATTATTATATACAATTATTTGGTACACCATATTTTTGTTGGACTGGACCGAGGTTACAGTATAAAGTAAAAATGTTTAACATCTATTTTTTCTTTGTTTTCTTTAACCAGGCTGATTATAAATTACCAAGATGCAGACGACATTAATTACAACCGTTCTGGCAATTTTCTACCTCGGAGTTTCAGCAGAACCCGAGTTTCTCTACAAACAGTTCAGAGACCCTGAACGAGATGTGTTCCATTATGGAAAGTTCCCGTCAGACTTTGCATGGGGAGTTGCTACGGCGTCGTACCAGATTGAAGGTGCCTGGAACGAGGACGGCAAGGGTCCTAGTGTTTGGGATACATTCGCTCATACCCCTGGAAAGACCCACTTGAACCAGACAGGAGATGTGACTTGCAATAGTTACCACAAAATCGAAGAAGACGTAAAAAACCTTCAGGAACTAGGCGTCAACCACTACAGGTTCTCGCTGTCGTGGTCTCGGATCATGCCAAAGGGAACACCAGATGTGATCAATCCAGCAGGCGTCAAGTACTACCACGACCTTATTGATGCTCTTCTTGCTGCCAATATCCAACCAATGGTGACACTCTTTCACTGGGATCTGCCGCAGCCATTGATGGACATCGGTGGCTGGGAGAATGAACTCATGCATGCGATATTCGTTGCCTACGCCGATTTTTGCTTCCAAGAGTTCGGAGGTAAAGTTACAAAATGGATAACTTTCAACGAACCCACTGTATTTACTGTCTTTGGATACGAGATTGGGTACCATGCTCCTGGTATGACGCACCTTGGGTGGGGTGCTTACCGTGCTGGTCATGTCGTTTTAAAAGCTCACGCAACCGCATACCACTTATACGATAAAAAATATAGACCACTTCAACATGGAATTGTTGGTATTACTCTTCACTCCCGTTGGTACGAGCCGAAGTCCGACTCAGAAGCTGATCGCGAGGCAGCAAAGCGAGCTATAACTGGAGAGCTTGGTTGGTTTGCTCACCCTGTCTTCTTAACTGGTGACTATCCCGAAGTTGCAAAGAAACTGATAGCCGATAAAAGCCGAGCGGTTGGCCTGACGTCATCTCGATTCCCAGAGTTTACCGAAGAAGAAAAATTGATGCTAAAAGGTTCAGCGGATTTCTTTGGATTGAACCATTACTCGACGAGTTACATTGAACATAAGGCGGATACGTCTCTTATCCCCAACATCATGGCTGACCTTGACTACAAAGCAACTGAGGATGATTCGTGGGACAGGACCGGTTCTTGGTGGTTAAGACCGGTTCCATGGGGTTTGAGGAAGAATCTGAATTGGATCAAAGACACTTATGGTGACATTCCAGTTTACATCACAGAGAATGGCATGTCAGAGAATGATGGGCCCATGCGACTTGATGATATGGACAGAGTTACTTATTATAGAGCCTACATCAACGAAATATTGAAAGGTAACGTAATATAATGCAATATGATGTCAAACACCAACACTTCTCAATCCATCTTTCTACAAGAATTTTAGAGGCCTACTCGATTTACTCAGATAATCATACTCAATGATTTGCAGGGGCGGATTTGGAAGGGGCGGGGGCGGCCGCCCGCCCTGGATTGATTGGTAGATTGATTAATCGATTGATTGGTTTATTGGTTGAATTTTGTAAATAAACTGTTCAAAAATATTTTGTACATACCGAGTCTAAAAAGTACAAGGCGTGTTGAATTGCTAATGACGCCCAATTTAAACAAAATGAATGAACGACTGTAAGAAGCCAGGACAGCGAAATTCCAATAGATAAAGCATACCTCTCAAATAAATTAAATTGAGCTGAGAGATTATTCTCTTTTGCTATACTCCATCATCATCATCATCATCATCATCATTATCATCATTATCATCATCATCATTATCATCATCACTATCATCATCATCAATAATTATTATTATTTATCTATTTGTTTATATTGCATTTATGGTGCTACGCAGCAAACTTTAATTGATTTGATTTTAATAATAATAATAATAATAATAATAATAATAATAATAATAATAAAATAATAATAATAATAATAATAATAATAATAATAATAATAATAATAATAATAATAATAATAATAATAATACAATAATAATAATATAAGCAATTATGACAGATTGACATTTAGTACTAGTCTTCCTATGGTGAAAATCTACTTTTCAATGAAGTGTTGTTTTATATTACGTTTTTATTTTTTATTTTTAGCCCAGCAGATTGATGGCGTTAATTTAAAGGGCTACATCGCCTGGACATTGATGGATAATTTTGAATGGGCGGAAGGCTACAACGAGCGATTCGGCCTCTTCCATGTGGACTTTGAAGACCCTCAAAAACCAAGGAGACCTCGTGCATCCGCCAAAGCTTTTGCTGAAATCATTAAAAACAACGGCTTCCTCAAGCCAAACGAGAAATCAGAATTATAACGTTTGAGCGTCGATTCCACAAATGATATATAATACTAAATAATAGAAGCAATCGCATATTACAACGTAAAATTAAAACTAACCGATATGGAAAGTCATTCGTTCCTACTGCAATTAGATTTTATGATGTTTTAGTGTAATAATTATTTTTAACCTACCATTTTAAACTGATTTTAACTGAGGAATTCTGTGTTTATATTTGTCTATTTTTGTTTTTAACATGTTGTACGGTTAAGGCCAAATGAGTTTCCCCATTGTGGGATAATAAAATTTTATTGAGTTTAATTGAATTGAAATAAATATAATATTGAATTTACTGGTTATCTATTGTCTTTTAACGCAGTGTGTTATATTTAAGATAAGATAAGATAAGATAAAAACTATTGTCTATGTTAGAAATGCATGATCCATTTGTCGTACAAAATACAAGAACACATTAATAAAAATTAAATTACATCAAAAAGCGAAAAATTGGAATTGCACTAATAAATAATACAGAATTGTTTTGTCAAAAGGAAATTATTTCACTTATAATCAGCCATTACATTATGTAAAAAATATTTTAAAGTATCGAATCAGATATATACATATACAATCCTAATTATCCAAAGGCAAGTAATTGCACATAAATCATTATCATAATTATCATCATCATCATCAACACTACGGTACGCCATCACATCATTATCATTATTGTTACTATTATTATTAACATTATTATTTTTCACAATGAAACAAAAGTTATAAGGGTTACATACATACACACAAAAACAGATATACAGTACACACAAATAATGAGGCCTTAAATAAAATATAATTTATTTATATAACTTAGCCTCTTAGTGAAAAATTAAGACAAATGAATTATGAAATGCAAAATTCTAACAATAAAATAAGAGAAATTAAAAGGTTAACTTCAAATAGGCCTATACTCTTTATTGATATAGTTCCTTTATTGTTAAATGTTACTATTGTTATTCTTTTATTTATTTATTAAAATGGTCGGCCGCATTAATAATTAACTTATTTGTAACTAGCCCGTGGCATTGTACCTAAAAAAGCGGAAAGGTTGCCAAAGCGCTTTCAACGTTATTACTCGTGGTCATCTCCTGGTTACATGCAGATAATCTGATCATGCACAAAGGGGGTGCAGGTAAGAACTTTTTTTATAGGCCGATAATTTTTTTTATCGTGTAAAGAAGTGCAAAAGTTTCAATCACAGTCATGGTGGGAAGTAAATATGTTTTTTTTTTCTCATTAAAAAACTCACTGCACGGAACACACTACGTAAACTTACCACATGGAATCGAAATGCTAAGCCAGAGCTGGGAGGGTTTTCTCGTCCCCGACGAAAGGAGTGGGTTAAACAACAAGCACTGTTGGAACCTCCATTTTGGCATCCAGGAACAAACCCGACATTCTACGATTTTTGGCAGCTTGCGATAATGGCACTGGTAGGCCTATATACCCTCCTCAATTTTGCCGACATTCGGGGCTACCATTCCCAAACGATGGTCCATATATAACCACCACTAATCGCTAGCAGGGTAGGGGAACGAGGATCGACGGGGGAAATTGTTGTCATGTGCATACGCCTGGCATTGCACCTGCTGTTAACAACTTTTCTAAAAATTTTAGATTCCTTTTTTATTTTACTAGAAATCATGAAAATAAAATACCAGCCGATAACATAAACGCAAAATATGAAAACATGATAAATAACTGTAAAAACCTTTATATAAAATTACTGTAATAATAAAAATGCTTACCGATCAATTAAAAAAGAAAAGGATTTTTAATTAATGAAGGGTTTACTCACATGGTTGGGAATTGTTTGATCTAGTCGAATTATCTAAATTGTTTCGTTTAGGCCTACCACCGAAACATATAGGCCTCCATGCCTACTACTGTGACTACTATAGGAATGTTCAGTATTCAAACCTTAATAGAAGGCATAGCATTAGCATTGAGGAGCATCCAGAAAATAACAATAAGTTTTTTTCTTACTTAAAAAAAGCCTATATAAAAAAAAAAATAACTTTAAATTTAGGCCTACTTTTAACTTCCTTTTAAGTAGCCTATTAAAGCTAGTTAATAAGGTACGTTTAATCCTAAATTCAGGTTAATATATATTTATAGAAATGTTATGATACTATTAAAACAGAGTACCCTTGACACGTACCATTTTACTACTGTAAATTACACATAGGCCCTACTATGTGCTTAGTTGGTTCTATTTTGTGGTGCCTGGAATAAATGACTTGTCGCCCTCTTTTTTTTGTGTAGGAAACCGCCGCCGGTTGTTGCGCTGTTAATTTTTTGCCAACCTCCCCAGGTCCATCGTCATACACAACTAGAGTTAACGCGACGAGATGTTTTTGTGAACAAGAAAATGGAAAAAGAAAACAGAGATAGCAGGTAGGATGGATTCATTATACGTTTCCTTGTCATAATTAATATTACAGGAAGTCATAATATAGACATGTGGTCTCGTTAGTTGTGTGACCTATAATAATGTTTACGTTCTGTTACTTTGCTTTGCTTGTTGGTTGCATGTCCAGTGAAGAAGTGCTAGGCACATAGTCATAGATAGGCCTAGGCTAGAGGGGGCCTAGACTAGCCTGCCTATCCCTAGGGCCTAGGCTGTTTAGGCTTTTGGGGGCACAACATATGGGTCCGCCCTAATTAGGCTAGGCCACACCCTGGCTAGGCTAAGCTTATGAATGGATATTTAAACACAAATTAGGAAAGTCAAATATGGAATTGAATTTTTTTGTTTTTTTTTAGCTCATGACAGTAATAAACTAAATACAACAAGTAGGCCTAGTAGGCTAGGCCATAGGTATAGCCTATGGCATCCTAGCCTGTTGGCCAGCCCAGCAGTAGGCTAGCCCAGTACAACTTTAAATCAAATGTCATCAATCAGTTCTTCCAATTATATGGCGTCATAGTCATGCATGGATATTTTTGATTGATGGAGTTGACTTGACCCTATTCTTACTTAATTAAACTTTACGCGGTGGCTACTGTCATATGCTACGCAGAAGTGTAACCATAAATTACAAGCTGTGCTTATGCTGATATTTCTTCGCCTTGTGCTATGGCAATTCCTAAATTTAACTAGTAAATAATTGTCAGAACCTAGAACAAAATCATTCATTATATACATTGATGTCAACTCAGTAGTTATGATTTATGCACATCACACACAAATTTGTGTTATTTGTTTATGTATCACTTGCAGAACTAAATTTACAGTATGGTATTCAACCTTCTATTTTCATCTGAAATGCAATAGTAATACATTTTGGTAGTGGTTATTATTACACCAGTCTTAAATGTATCTTTTAAAATTCTTATTTGATTTTATTGTCCTAATTCATTCCATATGCAATAAAATTCTTTGTTTTTTTTTCCATCAGATTCCCAGATTCTGATGAGGATTTTGAAGTCTTAGATATAGAAATGGATGCAACCATGAACCTAGGAGGAATGTACGAAGATGATGATGGACCATTCCATTCTATAGACATGGAAATCCATGATAACCTCAATCTCAGTCGTTACTCTACAACACCACCTGTGAACCATCGAGAACAGAAACGTTATGGTAAACAAGAAAACAAAACACCTAAAGTTGTTCATGCTGGTGGTAAGCATAGTACCTCTAGAGCACAAATGGGCACGGTAACAGAAAGTAATTTTTCACCAGTGGTGAGGAGAAATTCTCAAGAAGCAATGACCGAAGATGCCAAAGAGGCATTAAAAAAGAAGAAACGGGATATAAAAAAGGAACGCAACCACCAACGTGAAGAAAAAATCTCAATCAGGCATAACAAAAATTGCATCATTACTCCATCTCATTCTCAGGAAGTGATGAGTATCAATAATAGAACGAGTTATTCAAGCAATCGCTACCAGAGTTTGACCTACTTACAAGTCAGCCCACCAATTTCACCTAATACCACTACAAAAAAAAGACAGAGCTCCATTGGTAATCAATTGGTTGAATGTCCAAAAGACAGATTAGATTTTCATAGAACTTTTTCCTATGTCATCAAAATGGGAGCGAGTAATTCAAAGAAAGAAAAAAGCCATGATATCACCCGGCTTAAGGTTCAGAGACAGAACAGTCAACAGCAGGAGTTCTACCAAACTCAGACAGCGGAATTGATCTGGCTGGCTTTACAGGCTTGGCAAAATTGCGTTGAAATGGAACAACAGGATAAACTGCTTATGACTGCACGTTCAAAAGCTAAGGAAATTGTTGACAGAATATTGAAATTCAGTTTTGAACCTATAGGAACCGGTATACAGAGAAGTAAGTCACTGCAGAATTCTACCACTCCAATTTTGTTTGAAAAAGATTTTGATGATGAGGAAAATTCTTCTAGCAATTCATCTCACATTCCTCATAGCCTATCAGATTCTCATATTGACCAATCAAGGGAACAGACAGTGTTCTCTGAGGCATGCGAGCCAAAGACAAGTATTTTACGAAGATCTTCTCTTGCGTTTGGCTATGAGGTCACAGCTCTGATGAAGATGATCCAACTAGCGCATAAACAGATTGGCCCACTTCTGTGTGATCTGGAAAATGTTCAGAAACTTTATATCTCATCGAAAGCCCTTGAAAAAGATATACCTGAGTTCACTTCAGAAGCATTTATCAGACAGGTTAACACACTCAATCTGTGGATAAACATCACTATCGATATTTCGCATAAATTAAAACTCCTTGGCTCCCATCTTGGAGTTTATGATTCTGGTAACTGGCCAGGAATTGAATATGATGGACGTTACTCCATTACCAACAATTCTAGTATCATTAAACCATATGCGAAAAAATCAGGTCGTCTCAGCTTACCAAGTGTTCGGGAAGACTCATTAGATTCCCATGACCATGAACCTCAAGTGGGAGATAACTCTTCTACCTATTCACCCATTTCTAAACCTGTTGCCATGCCTCCTGTGCCTGTTGCTACACCTTCACCTGTTGCCACGCCTACTACACCTGTTGCCACGCCTACTACACCTGTTGCTACATCTACACCCGCTACCACGCCGACCACACCTAAGCCAGGTCGATTTTCACCAATGACGCGTATATTTAGTTCATGTCACTTCAGTTTTGATGAGGAAAACTCTACTTGGATGTACAGACCTTACGTTGACAGTGGTTTAAAACACAAGGGCCTAGAGAAGACAATGATTGCCCTGCAGTCCATCATAGGTCCAACATTAACACGTGCCAAGATGGCAATGGAAAGAGTATCAGTTACGGGAGAATCCACTGACTTAACAAAGGTATGGATCTCTACTTAAATATTTCCTTAGTTAAAATTGTGTACTTTACTCCAGTGGATACATGATTTATGTTCAGGCGATTGGTACAGTGTGGTAGACAGGTTCAAACTGGTTTTCCATTTGGTGAATTCATTTGCACGAATTGAAAGCGTCGGTTCATGCACATTCGCATTCACATTCCTTTCGGAGTCTTTGCGAAGCGAAAAAATGCGCAACCAATCAGAGCTCAGGAAGCAAACCGATGCTGTGATTGTGCGAATGAATTCGCCTAGTGAAAAACAGGCTTTAGCCAAAACACAAGCGAAAATATACCCGCTACAGCAGGTGGGCTACACTACAGTACACAGTTGAAAATGTGTTAAACCCTTAAAATGTGATTTCGTGAAACTGTACGATGTAGTAATGTTAAAAGCTCTTCGATATTTAGACTTTAAAAAGTAAAACTTAAGTAGTGTTAATAAATTTATGTGTTCTGCAGTAAAATTCATCAATTCAGTAAAATTTATAAATCCTAACAGATTGGATTAATTTTATACAATTATTTATTCACACTAAATATGGTGTTAGTAAACAGAGAATTTTCTATTTAATTTCATTCTTTTTTAAGGTACTTGTCATTTTCTTTTTTAATTCTTTTCATATTCCTTTCATTTTCATTTTTTTTTTCTTTTTCATTTTCAACGTAATTGCACTGTCCATTGTCATGCAACAATACGTAACTAAATACACAACAGACAGATAATTCTAGTACTGTACAAATTATCAATGAAACAAAACAACATTCTTATGGATCTGCTGTAGTGTTTTCTTTTACTTTTCCTACATTACTGTTTATGTTCATGTTTGAATTGATACAAAAATTAAATAAGGAAATAAACACCTAATCCATTTCAAGACTGTAATGTAATTCAGTACAACATTCAAAATACCAATAATGATAACACAGTATTCACTCCTACTGTAGACAAGAATGATACATGCATACATACATGTACAGTAATAATAATAATAATAATAATAATAATAGTAAAAATATTAATAATAATAAAATAATAATATGTATCGCATTTTCATATTTACATCTGTTCAATGCGCTTTACATAGAAGATCATAAAATATAATTTAAAAATGCAACATTATATTTTAAAATGAAATTTTAATTAAAAAATATATTGTATGGAAAGACTACAAATTATTGTTACTAATTTGAAAATAAATTCAATTGAAAATTTGAAAATTCACTATCAACATAATAAATATTACATAATTATAATTATTTAGTTACTGTAGTGTATTTTTTTTTTTAATTATCAAAATTTAACAAGTAAATTAATAATTTTAATTCATTATCTACACAAAAAAAACCAGTCTAAATAACTCCAGCAATAAGACTGCAAAAAGCTTTGTGGAATAAATAAGTTTTACCCTAAGTTTGTCTTTAAACGCGATGATAGAAGTTGTGTCTCTTAGTTCAGCAGTTAGCAAATGATCCACTTTATATTATTGTTAATTGTTGTTTATAATATTTGTACAGTAGGTTATAAGTATTGTTTATTATTATTTAATATTATTAAATATTGTGGCAAATTGTACAGTATTCTTATTAGGTATTTCCTTTATGTTCATTCACTAAACCAATCCTACTAAACCTGTATTTAGTGTTCCTACATACAAATTTGAGTAAGCTCATATTCTGCATAATGCACATTAAAATATGAACATTATGTGCTATCTGTCCAGTTATTTATTATTATGTTTAAAGTCTCCCTATAATATAGTTACTCTTTTGGACCATTAGTAACATGGTATGATTGCCACCTGGTTGTTGTTTAATGGTAGATATTTTCTAAACTACTAGTTATGTAAACAGGAAAATGACTTGATGACTCATCACTATTATTGTGTGTATAGTTTTTGTTATGATTTTTCTGCAGCCCATTTAAACTACCCTAGGCATAATGTTACATTGTCCAATTCCTTTTCCATTTAGTCCTCACTTTGATTAATTGCATTTCTATAGCGCCATGTGATCTGGAAAAAAACACATTAACATCCTGTATACAATCCTATTGTAGGTTATAAGCCTAATTCTAAGTTTTTCATGGAAATTACCAATGCAATACACAAAAAGGTGTGTTACACAAGCTTACTGTGTCTTTGATAGGCTCAAAATCTTGAAAATTTTATAGGCTGAACTTTTTATTTTTTTTTATAAAATTGTTATTTTTGAAAAAAAGAATAACCCCAAGGAGAGGAACGGAAAATATGTGTGAAGAGGCCTTTTATCCATCTTACAGTAATACGGTAGTCAATCTGATACCGTAGGCCTTATAAAATATATTATTTTATTAGTCTGTCTAGGCTGGAAAAGCGATGAGGGAGGGTGGCTTTTCTTTTTTCTTTTTTTATTTTTCTAAAGCCAAATATCACGCTTGGGTTGTTTGCTGGTGCATTGATATTCAAAGTAAAACATGATTTACCATAATACAAACAATATCTACTATTTAATAAAAAAAAAAAAAAAAAAAAATTTTCAAAATTTTTTTGTTTTCAGTACCATAATAGACATGCGCGCAAGGGTGATAAACTAATTTTTTTTTTATTGGGCCTTGATTTCAGATCCTTAACCATAGCTTTTAGCAAGTCAGGTGGTACAATTTTACCAAGCAAAATGTAGGGTGAGTGATTTGCTAATGAACCTAAGATTTTGGCCTTAAAAAATAAGTCAACATCAGACCAAGGAGACAATACTTATACCACATAGAAATATTGACTTTACTGTAACACATTATTATCAAGCTTATGCATTAAAAATAACATGAGACTTACAGACATATTAATTATTGTTGTTGTTGTTGTTATTGTTATTATTATTATTTATGATAAAGTGATGGAAGTGATTGTTATTTAATTAATTTTTTGAAAATATCAGCTGATGACAGTTGTTCTACTGACTTTAAAAACCTCTAAAGGTATTCACATCTTTTTCAAAGAAATTTATGCCAACGAATAAAAAGGGGATTTCCCTTGTCTGTTATTAAGATTGACGAACCCGTTGATCATGGATTAAATGCATATAGTTCAATTTAAAAAAAGAAGTAACCTATCTTTTTTTTTGAAATAGATGTAAGGTCAGGGTCATGTTGTTAAGCCCGTGAAATGCATTTGAAACATACAGTACTGTAGATTATTAACATTGTATGTTTTTTGTGTTATTGTATTTTCACTTTCAATATACTACTGTATACTAATTTGTTTTTTCGGATACTTTTTTATTTATAATGTGCACAAATCAGTTGTATCCATATATTTTTTTATGCGAAATAATCCAGCTCCTTGATACCTTTGGTTATGATGTTTTTTATATCTGAATATAATTTTAAATAGGTTTACTTTGAAATTCAGTAAGGAGAATCAGGGCTAGAAAAAGTGCACGACCAGCAGTCGGAGGCATTGACCTTTAACCCACAGACATTTTAAGAAAAATATTTGGTTTTTTTTTTTTTGGATTGGATTGGATTTGATTTATTCGGTGTAAATACCAAGGATAGCCCACGAAAGTCTAGAAGAAGACTTATTTCCAGTGGGTTCCTTCTGGTGGTGATTGGACAGTACACCGGGAGACAATCCCCTACTCTTTTCCGAAGAGTGTACTGTGTTCTTTAACATGCACATGGGCCATAAATGCACACGGGACCATCGGCTTAAACGTCTCATCCGAAAGACGGTGCACTATTGTAACTTGTATTTCAGCCCTCTAGCTGAAACACAAGGAGAAGGGGAACTGAACCCCGGGGACCTAGAGATCTCCACAGTTCAGTGCACACACAGTGGCTACCACCCCCAGATTAGCTGACTGAGTTAAGCTGCTCTCTCCTTTGCACATCACAATTTAATGCATAAATATAATAGTTTTGCTTGCTGCAAACCACTAAATGTACTACTGTTTCGCTATAATAGTGTAAAGATTACATTTGATCCTAGAGGCATTTGATCAAGATAATTTTCATGGTTGGAGGCACAGACATTTTTTTCCAGGCCTGAGAAGAATATTACTTATTGTATATTAATTATTGTAAACAATGACAAAGAAAATTATATTCTTTGGATATATTTTATAATGTGCATTAACTCAATTCCTGTACTGTATTCATAGATTTTTCATGCAGATAATTCAGCACCTTGTAAAATTGTAAAATTACAAGAAAATAATATTTATTTGGCCACTTTAAATACATTTTTGTATTTTTTGTATGCAGATAATTCAGCACACTTCTTACCTTTGGTTATGATTTTATTTATATCAGAATATAATTAAGTAAGTTTAGTTTAAAATAAGAAGAATTTAATTGTAAACAATATTTTTTTGACTACATTACTTTGGGTCACCATTTTCAACCATTGTGTTTAAATAATTGCTTATTATTTCTTTCAGGGAGATGAATTTCCTAGTCATCCATGTCTAGATACAAGTTCAGCTAACATCAGTGATGTACATACCAGTTGCTTTATCAAGCATGGTTGTCATAGTGAAGAATTCAAAGCCATGAATCTTCCGTCTTTCAGGTATGTGTGCTACTGATTGTAGGATGGAAGATGAGAGTGGTGGCTCCAGAAATTTGTTGTCAGGTTGTCCAACAAGTCCAAACGAGGCCTGCGAATCAATGCGCTGCCTAGGGACTCTGTCCTGGGTACAGGGTACAGAGCTCAATTCCTCACTGATTTCAGGAGTTGTATCCTGTGGGGCTTGTGTTAACTGTGAAGATTTTGTGCACTGGTGATGTCATTAATAATAAACATTGTGGAATGATGTGGTATGTAATTCATTGATCTCCAACTTGTTGGAGATCAATGTATTGGTGACAGTTCATTCCCTTTCAATTGTTGCCCAACTTTGGAATGGTCTGCCTAATTCTGTCAGATCTTGTGATTTGCTTAGGCAGTTCAAAGGCCATCTAAAAACACACCTTTTTCAATAGCTCCGCTCACCTTGCATAGATCGTATTTGTTTATTGTTTTGTTTTGTTTTCTTATTTTTCTACTGCTTTATTGCATTAGTTAAGTTAGCACACTTTGCTTGGGTTTGGTTCTATGCAAGCTTTACTCGGGGGGATGTTTTTGACTTATTGTGGAGAGTCGCTTACAGCGCTTCGTAACTTTAAAAAAAGGCTATACAAGTAACAAGTAACAAGTCTTAGTGCTGAGTTTAGTTGCACAGCTTTAGAAATACACTCCAGACAGCATTGAGTATTTGACATGAGATTCATGTATTCAAGACCTCTTCGATGAGATTCATGTATTCAAGACCTCTTCGAAACAAAAACTTGCACATAAATTGAAAATTTCAAAAAATCAAAATACATTACAGTAGTTTTTTTTTTGTCAAAAAAATATAAGAACAAAGCTTGTTCTGATCGACCGGTAGCTGTATATACCTATTAAATGCGTTGTTTGTTTTTACTTGCACTATTGGAATAGATCAAATTTCTCATATTTCCTGCACTGAATTGCGCAATTGGGAACTGTGCTGATAATCATTTAAGAAACCACCAAAATACGTCAGATTTGTTGCCATATATAGGATCAGACACGGAAATGTGTTATATCAGACAATCCAAAATGTACTGTAGACCTATATATCATATGTAAATTATACCAAATGTTTCACTGTAGAAAGATACAGTAGTGTACAATGCATTACTAGGCATCATGGAAACAATATTCCTAGGTATTGTACGGTCTTGTCTCTACCATACAGTAGTTATATTTTCCAAAATATCTCATTTCCAACAAGCTGAAACATGGCATACCATAGCCAGTGGCGTAACATCTATGAGGTCTCACAGGCTAAAGCCAGGGGCACCAGCCTTTAAAGAGCCCCTGGATTTTTATAATCAACATTTTCCCTCATACACTAACATTTGAACAAGATGCTTCTTTGAGTCAAATACCCTAAAGCTGGTGGGACTGTGCCCCAGGATAGTAGGGCCCTGACGAAGCTTTAGCCAGGGCCTCAGTCCTATTTGTAATACGCCACAGCCTGTATCCATGAATACAAATTGTCATGAGTGCCGGTTGTTGGCCGATTCCAGGGATTTCACAGTAAAATATCTCAATTTAATAAATGATTAATTAATATATATCTCTGATCTTTCAACTTCCAGGCATGCATATGTGTTTCTGCTCCGTGTTTTACTTGATGTTATGCATGAATGTTTACATTTTCGGCTTGCTCAGAAGCCAGCAGCAGAGGCCGAGCCGTCCATTCACAGCATCAATCAGGTAAATCCACCTAGAATTTTTATAGGCTATTCAGGATGGTTTGTTTCCTGGTGTATTGTTATACTGTACTTATTTTGTATGATGATAAATAACGTGTGGGCGTGTGCCAACCATGTGTTTACTGTCACTTGATTTGTAATCACCTAATGTGTGAAATTGATATTAGAATATTGATTTGAGTGGAGGAATCTTGGAAATGTTAGGCCATGAGGAATGTTAAAAATGTGTATAAGGAAGAATATCAAAATATTCTAGAGGAGGTAAAGAATGTGGGAAATGGTAGGGAATGGATTGTTGAAAATGTGTAGAGGGATGGGGAGAGATCAGTGCAAAAGGTTGTTGGCATTATTAGGAGAAATGTAGAATGCTTATTGGTCAGTTGGTAGTGTGTAATTTGTTACACAAAAACTAATACCTGATTAATCTGTAGATTTTTAATCCCTATTAATCTCTGATAATATCATGTGAACCATGAACTGATTTGAGAGGCAGTGTGGATTAAGAAGATATTAAGTACTACTAATCCAAAAACAGTATGATTTTGTACTGTTCATAATAGGATTAATCTCGTGAATAATTATTAATCCAAATTAATCTTTGATTATTGGCTTATATATAAATGTAAGGAAGTGATTTGTTGGGCAGTGTGGATTAAGGAGTATTAATCTCTTGAATAATTATTAATCCAAATTAATCTTTGATTATCAGCTTATCCATGAATGTAAGGAAGTGATTCGTTGGGCAGTGTGGATTAAGGAGTATTCAAATTAATCTTTGATTATCAGCTTATCCATGAATGTAAGGAAGTGATTCGTTGGGCAGTGTGGATTAAGGAGTATTATCATAGGATGGTGCAAGCAGTTGTCAATGACAGCCAAGATGTAGACACAGACATTGAAGAGTATGAAGAAAATTTAAAGAACATGCTAGATGTAAGTTGAACAATATTATTGAAGAATACAGGTCTCCCTCTAATTACAGACCCCTCCAATTAATGACCACTCCAATTAAAGACCACATTTGTGTGGTCCCAAATTAATAAATGTTTTTTATCTTTATTATTTAAATTACATACCAAATTAGTTAAAAACCATGGAAACCCAAAAGTGGTCTTTAATTGGATGGAGACCTGTATTCGCATAACCCCAGATATACATAATAATACTTAATACACTTCCACATCTACCTGCTTCCTCATACGGCATCCACCTCTATACTGATACCCACCCAACCAAGAGTTGGGACAGCTGGGCAAGTGATTAGGCTGGGCAAGTGTCATCTAGTTTCTATACCTTGTCACCTGGTGAGCATACTAACACAAAATTCAATCAAAGATAAACTACACATCTTCTGATTCTTGCTCCCTAGCAACAAAAAGGCATGTCACTTAGAGTTAAACCCATCAATAAATATTGCCTTTCAGGAGTCTTGGCATTGAACAGAAATCTTTTAATCCTAGGTTGTTTATGTTTTATTTGTGTTCAGTTATTAATAATAATATTAAACAGATATTAATTTAGCGCCAATTTTTTTTTTTTTTTTTTTTTTTTTTTTTTAACTGAATCAAAAAATAGAAACTATTTAAACCTTCATTTCTAGGTTTATTTTGAATACATTCATATTTGGATGTCAATGCTTCAACGATCGCCTCGTGCTTCAGCAAGTTTAAAGAACATACTTGAAGAGGAGTGGGCTTTCTCAAAAGAGTTCTGTCCTCACATCAGAAGTGGAGAATCGAAGGCTGGCAAAAGATTCTGGTGAGAGGCTGTTTTTCTTATTACTTCAGCAGTACAATTATTCTACTATACTACTAATGTTACTAGCATTACTGAGCAAATGATAAGGGTACTATTTTCTCGCTAGTACAGACCAAAGGAAAGAGATTTGTAGTGTAGTATTATACAAATTGTGCACTTGGACCACAAACTGAAATCACAAAAACTTTTATTAGGTTGGCAATGTAATGTTGTTAGTCCTACAAACAAAATTGCCATTCCACAACAGGTATCTGTGCATTAACTAATTTACAGTTGGTCATTGATTTTGAGGAACTGATTCACCCTTTTGTTCAGTTGTTGGTTTTCTTGCTGCTAGTTGACCAAAGATTCCTCCCCTCAGCAGCCACTTAGACACATCTGAGTGGGGTTGTCAATTTAATTTACTCTACCGGATGGAGTTTAATGTTGTACCCAGGACAAAGTTAACTACCTTAAGGCGAGAATTTTTTTATACCTAGTTTCGCAAACTTATTTTTTTGAAGACTGTCAAAGGAGGGCGGAAAAAATATAAAAATAACATTTTGTATTCTTATTTAGCAAATGGTTTTGCCAAAAATATTCAGACGGGGGTGAAAATAAAAATAAAATTTTATTGTTCAATGTAAACATAATGATAATAATAATCTCTTTATGTATACACAGCAAAAAAAACCCCAAATTCAACATAGAAAATACAATATCAAAAAAGAAATTGTAAAAAGTTGTTCTTCCTTGAGTCCGTGGTTCATTAATTAACAACAAAAATGATTATATAAAAGTTAAAATATTAACAATAAATTCATTACAATAAATATTAAACAGTGTAGAAATGGGATGGTTAAATGCTTTAAATTTTCAGAATTAGATAGAAATATATATATCAATCTTATTTTTGGAGATTTCAAGGCTGTGGTAGGTGTAATAAAAATAAAGAAGAATTTCCATTTTTTACTTGGCGGCCAGTGCACTAGTTGCCCAAAAATAAAATTTTATTTTTATTCAAAATCATCAATATTGGCTTTGGCGTATTCAGCGAAACAAGGTAAAAAAAGTCTTGCCTAAGCTATGCTTCTTAACTACCTGAAGCTAAGCTTATGGTTAAAACATAATTTATCGTATATATATTTTCAAGTTCACATTATTTGATGATGTTAATGGTTACTGTTTCTGATGGACAGCATCATGGCAAGCAACTTACTTGAATCTACTAGAGAATACCTTGAAGCCGAGACAGATGACATCTGCTCTGGGTTGCAGGATAGCACATTATATCCAGAGAACATCATGTGAGTCTCAGTGTAAATAATCTCAAACTAAGAACTCAACAAAACTAAGTTATAAAATGATGTAAAAATTTTTTTTATTATTAATCACATTAATTTCATACAGTTTGCTGCTGATGATAATGATACTAGAGTGGGCATTCAGTACAGTGCATACCTCTGCTATAGCACTTCCTTTGACCTTGAATTTGACCTTTTCACCCCAAAATTAAATTCCACTTTCCTTAGACCAATATGTACCACTCGACTAATGCTACAGCATAATGATCCATTCATAAGGTTTTGCATAAATGTTATCAAAGAAATAGACAACATCAGTGAACAATGTACATAGCATCTGTAGTGGGGTATCTAGTATTATGCTAAAAGTAAAAAGTATTTTTATAATTTATTCATATCTTTTAGTAATGTTTTAATATTTTTTATTATTTTTAGACAAAGTACGAGAGATTCCAGCAGAGGCATAAAGCAGCTGTTTTATGAGGCAAGAGAGAGGGCATCCAGGGCTCTAAGCTTCGCTAAGATGCTTCGAAAAGTAAGCTTTCAATCCAATAATAATATCATGTTTTCAATCAAATAAATTGCATTGAAATATATATGTATAGAATAAATGATTATGGAAGCATTGGCAGAGGAATTGCAGTTAATGGCAACTTTAGAAAGTCAGTATGGTTTGGGCATGGAATGCTATCTATAGTAAACAGAGATAAAACTACTATTAAACCACATAGTGATGAAGAGATATGGAATGAAGACTTACGTGAAGACGACAAAAACAAATATAATAAATTAAACAAACTAGGAACATTTAGAAATATGAAATAGTAAAATATATACTCAATATATATAAACTATATACAATTGTGTATTTAAGTAAGTTATTTTATTTTAATCATGAAGGAAAATGAAAAAATAATTTACAGTTGCATATTCTTTATAATACTATTTCTATTGTAAATTCCCTTCTTTGGCAGGATTTAGAGATCGCAGCTGAGTTCCATTTGTCTGTGTCTACTAAAACGTTGCTCAAGGATTTATGTTCTTCAAATCATGTCAGGGTAAGTATTATTTACCTTTTAATTTTTATTTTTTTATAAGTCTTCGTAGGGGACCATGTGATGTGCAAAGAACAGGGGTGGGGGGTGCTTGAGATTTTTGTTTAGAAATACCTGACCATAGACTCTGGTAATTTAAATCGAAAATGAGCTTGTTTTGGAGTTTTTTCCTTCCCTTTTTTTTTGGGGGGGAGGGTGGGGGTGTGGAACCTACCCCTTGTTGCCGCCTGTTGAACCACTCCTTTTGTTTATGAATTTATTTTATGTGAACGTATTGCCAGGAAGGGATTTAAAAAAAATAATAATTACATTATATTTTATTGACAGGTACTGCTAGACAGTCCTGGTCACATGCTTTTTGTTCCGCAACATGTCGAAGGCAAAATCCAACAGATACGCCAGTTGTTGAGCGATCTCTGTGGACGCGAAGATTTCATTCAGTCAAGCCCGTCCAGCGAAGACGGTTATTTATTATTGGTGAAGACTGATGACACGGATTGGTGGCCGGGAAAGTGCATTGATGTTACTCTCAACGTTGAGAGGACCATCGCTCTAGTAGACATACAGGTAAGGCTGTAAATGGATATACAGTTTAAAGTCTTATTTAGGAGCCACCCATCGGGTGGGAGAAACATCTAATAGACCCTTGAGTTTAAGCACAATGTTATAAGAGAGGATGAGCGAACGTTCTTTAAGAAATGCTCATATACATGAATCCCCATTATGGAAATTGACTTCCCAGTAAATAAGGTGGATTGCGAGATTAGAACCAGCAACCTTCATATGCCGGTCAGCAGATGCACTGCCAACTGAGCTGAATGGCGAAGTTGGCAATGTTTGTTTACTGCGCAGTTCACTTTTTCTTCGATATAAGTTTATCTTTATTATCACACTCGCGTCACACCACTTTGACAGCCTTCATCCACCACTGTGTCTAGGGCGTAGCTTTATCACTGAGACGGCTGGGTTGATTTTGAGGAGTGTGTATCCATGATGTTTAAAGCCGGGCACTCACTACGTTGCACGATGGTTGAATCCATCTATGACTCCATCTATGAATTTTGTGATCGCTTGTCGATGCAATGCCATCTGCTTATTGTCGGTGCGCAGTCTGAGAGGATCGCCATTAAAAACAATCTGCGTTGCGTTTTCTATGGAATCACGTGGCCAATGACTGTCAAGTGAATTGTGTGCCCGGCTGAAGTGTTGAAGCCAACATCATCGTATGATACAGCCCTGACGCAATTTTTTGTTGCGTCGGGTCTGTGTGAGATAAACACTGACGCGGTGGTTTGCTTTGGTGACAGTCGCGTCATAGATATTAATATTTAATATCATAATCATGTCAGGCTGCATCGTAGGACGTTGTCTGAGTTGGGATTTTTGAAACAAAAAAATCTATTACAATACCATTCATTGATGCTTCCATATTTTTATGTTTTGATTTATTTTTTAATAAATGTTTACATATAATATCAGAATTTTAGGTCTTCCTCCAATTAAATACCACTTTTGGAACCAGGGTTTTCATGGTCTTTAGCAGCTTTAGTCTCTAATTAGAACAATAAAGATAAAAGACATTAGTTAATTTGGGACCACAGAAAAGTGGTCTTTAATTGGAGGGGCTAAATATAAAAAAATCATAAAAATATTTTTTGAAATTAACTTGCCCATTTTGAAGTAACATAAAAGTTATCAACTTGAACATAGAAATTAGTGTTTTTAAAAAATGTCTACCCATCAGTTTACAGCGAAAAATGATAGAAACACTTCCAGTCACTGGATGTGTTTTATTATTTTTATTATAATTTGTTGGTTTAAAAATCAGGGTACACATATTTTAAATTCAGTAATTTCTATGCACAAGTTAATAATTTGTATGTTATTGCAAAATGAGCAAGTTTATTTCAAACTTATTTTTTATGATTTTTTTTACATTAGCAAGGGACAATACATCTTTAATTAGAAGGACACCTGTAATTGAAACACTTCTTACATTATGTATGTTTTTTTTTCATGTTAGGTTGAGAATCTGCTGTTGGTAGTAAATCATTCTTCTCAGCTATCCAGTCAACGCAAAGCATTTGAGAAGGCTGTTGGAAGCGATGTTGCCTTGGTGATAGAAACCACATCCAGTCACAACACAATAGCAGATGCCCTATCAGAACTTAAGGTTTACTATCCTAATCATCATTCACTTAATGATATTTGAAAAAAAAATAAATATCTTTACCTATCTCACCCTCTACAATTAAGTACATATCCTATCTTGGAACACTTTATGCTCAAAAATGAATTCCTTTTAAGATTACTACCCACCATAAATACTTTCCTGCATCACTGAGGCATGCTGTGAGTTATTATCTGGCTGTCTTGCACCATAAATTGCTTGAAAACGATGGTTGTCATAGCAATGCAGTGTGTTAGTTTAGGTTTATAGTTTTTTTTGTGAGTTATGATTTTTTCCTTGATTTTCTGTTACTTTGTTTTTAAGTGCCTCGAGGTTGTCTCAATGTGAAGCACTATATAGATCTAGAATTATGATTATTATTATTTGTAAATAAACCATACTGTATTTTTGCCTTAGACAGTACGAAACATCCTGCCTAAGGTAAAAATACTTGTTTATTTACAAAGAATAACAATAATATTACACGAATTGAAACCAGATAACATTACTTGAAGATCTAGAATTATTATTATTATAGCCTTTCCCATCATCGTGAGTTGTGTAAAAGTAAGGTGGTTGTAATAGATAAGAACATGTGATAGTGAGTATAATATCTTTCGTATTGCAGACTATTGCCTTGACCCATGGTGAGACATTGACCTCGAACATCTATAAGATACGCGAGAATCTCGACATTGATGCCATGCACGATATTCATCAAACCGAAAAACTTGGCTTATACTTCCGGGAAACCATGCACAAATGTTTTGCTGTTGGATTTGAGGTAATACATACATACATGACATTATTTATATAGCGCTATTCATGAAGATCAGAGCTTTTAAGGTCATTAAATGAATAATCTGAGCAGATTGTTCATTAAAGGTCATTGATTTAAGGTCATTCAAGGTCATTCCAGGCTCAAAGTGTGGACTACAGTAGCTCATACAGCAACTTTCTTTTTTGAAAAGTTGTGTTTGATTTTGGAAAAAAAATAAATATATAACTTTTTTAAATATTATTTTTTTACTTGTTCACTTCCATTGCAGTATCATAAAGAAGTAGCTCGTCTTCTGTCGGGAGAACTCCGCCAACGTCTTGGAAAGACCTCTCTCGCATTTGCTATATCGTGGATGAAATTTGTGGTAGATAAATGTGAAAAAGGCAAGGGCAGAAAACCAAGGTAAAAATATTTTGTTAAAAAGTATGTTATAATAGTGGTACTGTATGTTTTCTATAATCATCAAATATTACCAGAGAGTATAAAACTGCAAGAGTTCTGACTCTCGTGGTTTCCTTGGAACGTAATCCTATTTCAAAAAGTACTACCAGAAAGGGGCATGTCCTTCAAATGACCAATTTCAAGCGAACTCTATTTGAATTCTAATAGGGCGCCCCTATCGCATGGCTGTACTTTTTTTAAGATTTCATTGTGTGCATACAAAAGGAGGGCAGTCGGACCTCTTGCAGCTCTATTCTCTTTGATATTG